CATTCATCCATCAATGCCAGCAGAGAAAGCGGGCAGAGCTCATGTCATGATACGGCGCCATGAAGCAAGCATAATTCAATTTACTCCTGTAGTCCATAATAGGGCTAAGTGTTATTTACATTATTGATTAATCCGTCAATTTTTTTCTTGATGAAGCCATTCATTGTTTAGTCTATGGAATTGTGAAAAATGTCCTTCACAAAAAATATCTGGTTCTTTGATTTAATAATAAAACATAAAAAATTGTGGTCAGAAGGCAAGAAGAAAGCATCCAAGTGTAAAATACTGTTACGTTTAGTGCCAACAGCAAGCTGAAGCTTAAAGGTCCAGTGTGTATTTAGGAGGATCTAATGGGCAGAAAATGGAATATGAATAATTATAGGTAATGTTTTCATGAGTGTATATATCTCCTGAAAAAAGAGTTGTTGTGTTTTTGTTACTTTAGAATGAGTTTTCATCTACAGACGCTGCGGGTCTCCTTCCATGGAGGCAGCCATGTTGAACCGCCATATTTCTACAATAGCATGTCTTCACAGCCACTAGTTTCTCTCTCGCGGTTGGAAAGGGAGCGTGAGATCTATCCTACACATTATTTTCATTTTAGTCCAATGTCCCTGTGTTAAGTAACTTTCAGCATTCCCTCCAGGATTTCGCTGACTTTTTTGGGGGGATTGTTGCGGCCTAAAATGCTCAATTTCACAGCTTTTTTTTCACACTTTTCTGAAAACATTGACAATAATTTTCTTTTGATTCATTGACTAATCGTTTCAGCTCTGGTCCACATCATTAACCTTCTTGACGATTTAGAATAAAAAGAGCCCATATAGCCTCCTTCTGTCTGTAAGTCTCTTCTCCTACTCTCTGAATTTTCCCTCATTGTGTCACTTTGCTCGCAGACAAATAACACCATCTTGTTGTAATGTGATCTGATTCTAAATTGGAGACGCAGATACTGTATCTTACCAGTTTCGGCTCCAGCAGCATAATCAGCCAGCGAGACATCATCCCTCAGGGCTAACATGCCTGTTCAACTGTCTGTTTTCACTGCACAGAGCCAAATTAACCGTGATGCTAATTGCCAGCCAAGGCCGGCTCTGTCTTTCTTCCAGCATTTGCATTTATTCCTCAATCCCCCATACTGTCCTAAGATTCCATCATTTCTATATATATCTATAGGTTTTCTCACTTCATCTCCTCCTACATTTATTTCACTTTGTCTGTCACCCTTTCTTCTGGCTTACTTCTTTTATCCCGCTCTTCTTCCACTAGAGCAGCTGAATGGATTTCTTCCTTTACACTGCTTTTGCTGCTTGAGTTGGTCTATTACTATATATCTTTCCTATTGTCCATTTTTGTATTGTTTTTAAAAAAAGAGGCGCTTAATGTTTAATCTAAATGAAATGAAACCATACCATCGTCATAAATCCATCTGTCATAGACACAACACAGAAAAAGAAAACAAATCTTCTCATGGTGGTGATGGCAAATTTTAAAGTGTGTTTCACATTGTCAAATGCATTTAAATATTCTGACACATGGGATTATGACTATAATATATGACTGATGTGGCTGAGTGCTGAAGGACGTCCTATAGATTCTAGGGAAGGGGTCCTCAGTGGGGAGACACTGAGAGCTCCCGTTGGGAAGCCCACAGTTGGGGGAGCCCCAGGCATGTGTCGGGGCTAAACAAAGGCAAATCGCTGGCCAAGGATGTGCTGCAAGACACATGCAGTTGTTAAAATTCTGAAGTGTAGTCTGTTTTTAATGTGTGACGATGTAAAGGAAAAGACATGTAGATGAGGAGTTTCACTGCGCACATATGAATTGTCAGTATAATGACCCACTGTGGTGCTGAGATTAGCTACGCAGTCTATCTGGTAATGGCAGAGGAAACAGTGTGTGCACCATTGTGTTTCCTGTTCTGATATCTGAATATCTTACTGATACCACACTGACTTCCATGTGACTGTGCTGTTAAGTGAGCAGACAGAAAAACACACCAGTTTGTTCCGTCAAATTTTTTTTGCCTGTTAGTTTATTTTTCAGTTGCTTAGAAAAACAAAACAAACAAGAGCTCACAGATGACCCACTATTGCCAATCTACAACTTGTCTATGCACCGACCGGAGCATCGTTTTTCAAAATGTATGAGAATATGCAAATGAAGGTGCATCTCATTCAATCGTCGAGTGAGTCATGTGACCCGAGTAGAGGGGTCTAAGGGCACTTAGGGTCGTGGGGGGGGGGCGGCTCCATGGCCACAAGAATGGGGCGGGGGGGGGGGGGGTTAGATCCCCCCAACTGCCCATGCTGTGGAGAGCGAGTCGGCCTCCTTTGCCATATGAAACTCCACCAGATGGGGGGTAATTTTAATTTTCTTTTCTTTCTCATAAACTAAAACACAGTTAATACCGATCACTGTACACACTTGCCAGCAAGCTTAGGGTACCACAACTGGTTTCAGGATGCGTCTTGAAAACCCACCAGGACAGGAAATAGTATATAAATGAGCCTAAATATAATTTAATAGAAACCTTAGCAGATTAAAAATAAAGGGACAAAATGAAAAACAAACAATAAAACAAATCACTTCTTAAGCAGCACGCACACTTCACAGCGGGTTTAGGCCTGCACCTCCCAAAAAAACATGTGTGGAGATTAAATCACCCGGTCTCAGTCGTAAACTTATGGCTTTCGAGGTGTGTTTGCTAGCCACACAGGATTGTAAATTCGTTTGATGGCCGAAGACAGAGAAACATTAAGTATAAAAAACACTTCAAAACTGGCCCACCAGAGATTCAATGGGGAAACCTAACGAGTAACTATGTATGCATGTGCATCATGCGCACGTGTGTTGTGTGTGATTACGTCGCAAACAATGACGCCAGTTCGCTCGATTTATAACAAAAGGAAGAAAAGAAACATGCCCAATGGGGAAGCGGCTTAATCTTTTAGCCACCAGACCACAGTGTTTCCTGTGCTAACATCTCTGCTTGCACTATTCCCCCCCTGCCTACTATTCAATCGTTTTTAAAATACTTGTACAGATATACCTGCTATGGCAGCAGTCTATATATAAGGAGGCCCATTTGACAAATGGTACATTGATTTGGTTTGGTACGTCATATCATAGTTCACACAATAGCTGAATAAGTCACATATGACGTAGCTGAATGGATCATACAATAAAATCTTATTTGTGGATCATTGGTCTATGTTTCAAATACACATGTGGTTTAATAGTTGTCATTTTTTTCTCAAAAACAAAGCAAGGATCAAATACAGGGTCGATTATTAAACACTTGCAAAATGTCCACTGCAAAGAATGGCTTTGGTAGGGAGAAAATTTCAAGAAGCAATTCATTCTGGTTTCCTCTGTGCCATGCCTTGTTTATTTTCTTTTCACAGTCCTTGTTGCATGCTCGTTCAGGATGCTTTTTTTCTAGCAGACAAATGATGTGAATAAGTCCAACTTTTCAGTCCTACTTGCGCGCCTGCTGCTGCCGACAGGCGCCCTGGAGCCCCAAGACAAGAAAGCTTATAAAAATGGATAATGGTGACAACCACCGGTCCGATTAGAAACATCGCGTAAATCCCTCACTTGAGGCCTCAACCCGGTTTCTCTTCACTACTGGGATTTTTAATGATTAATCCACAAGCAGCTGATTCAAATTCAAACTTTTTTGCTTTTTTTTTTTAAATCTATAAAGCAATCTCCTCGAAAACAGGTGGCAAACAAATCAAACCTGGCCAATTAAGGCCTACCATAATATCTTATACATACATGTTTATCATAAGAACAGACTTCGCAAAAGTGAAACAATAAAAACAGTTAAATGATTAAAAAAAGTATAAAGTGTTATATCAACAAGGTGGTTAACAAATTCATGGCATGCCACGGCTTAAAGCAGAGGAAGACATGTCCCCTGGTAGGGACAAGAAACAAGAAGGGAGAGTTTAGACAGCAGTTTGGAATTGCTTATCCTAGCCCGCGCGCCCCCAATATTGTGCTACGCTTCAGGTTGGCGACACGGCCCCGAGCTCGGGAGGCAGGGTGTGTTTAGGAGGTGGTCGTCTCACATGTGGGCTCAAGCAGCCATCTGCGCACCCTACTCTGCCAGCACTGATCCTTGATCCTCAGTCCAGCCCGGCCGCCGAGCAGCCCGCTGTCTATTCCAAACAAGAAGCTTCCGGGCTGGGGGATCGTGGGGTGGACGTGTAGGGAGGACAAGGCCGAGGGGGAGGAGCTGTGGGGAGCTGGGCGGCTCCACAGCGAGGCCCGGCTTTGACCTTGGTTCCCTGGGGCCGGCGGGGGGCAGACGGCGCCAGACAGACAGCCCATTGTGTCCTACTCCCTTGCCGCGTGCCTCCTCCTCTCTGGGGTTGTATCAGCGACACAGACGCGCGCCCCAGGGCTGGACGGAGAGAGAAGAGGTGGAGAGAAAGAGACGGAGAGAGCCAAGGGGAGGCGTTGGGCAAAATGAACACAATGAAACGAGACTGACACGGACTACCCGACCGCCCCCCCCTTCATCTGTTGGGTGACGGGATCCTCTATTCCCTACTGGCAGGCTGCTGCCCTCTCCTCCTTCTCCCTGGGTGTTGAGCCCGCTCCTCTTCTTTTGTCCCGTTCCCTCCTTTATTCCCAGCGCCACCAGCCAGGCGAGCTCCTAACACTCTGGTGTGGCCAAGCACGCCTACAGCGCGCATTATATATATAAATAAATGTGTTTTCAAAATACCCTGTTCATTGTTCGAACGCCATGTAGTGACAGGGCTACCTGTTTGGTGCGATGGTGTATTGCTGTTTGTGTGCTGGCAGTGGGTCACCTTATCGTGGCGCAAGATTGAAAGGTACAGTTACGTATAACCGCGTTTAACGCATGTATTTATTAGGCTAAAGAGAGGGTGATGGTGATCTTAAATCCTGCGAGTTTGATAAACCTAGAGGAGCGATTGGATGCTTCACTGGAAATGTTTCATCTTTGGTGTCAGAAGGGGCGGTTTCGCGGGGGGGGGGGGGGGCTTGTCTCCTCTCCTCCTGGAGGAGCTGGCACCTAGGCAGTGGTGGTGAGCTTTTGGATGGTACGGTTGTAGTATTGGGTGGTGAGAGCCTCCAGGGGGCTCCAGCGGTGTGCATGCAGCTCGATGACCTCCATGAGGAGAGAGCGGGTCAGCTGAGATTCGGCCGGACAAAGCATCTTGTCCCTGACGGCTGCGAGAAGCTCCGTCATCATCTCTGGGAGCTGCTCTTCCAGAAGACGCCCCATGCTCTGCAACTGGAGAAGAGAAAAGGGACAGAGGGAGGGAGGGAGGGGTGTAAGGAGGCAAGAGGTCAGAGAAAGTGTGTGTGTGTCCCTGACTGACTGCAAAACACAACGTCTGGCACCTTGTTACTGTGGAGTCAGACAGCAGAGGTTCACACACCCTCTGGCCACAGAGCTGTGTGTATGTGTGCCTGCTGGTAAGTAATCAAGACTACAAAGGATGTGGTTGTATTTGTGAGCATCTGGGAACTGTTTGTCAACCAGAGCTCACCTGTCTTTGCTCTTTCTGCATTGAGTTGGGTTTCATTGAGTTACATTTGTTCAGATGTTTTACTGCATTTCATTTTGTTGCATGGCTCTTGCACACATTTCAAAAACACAAACATTAACTGTGTGTGTGTGTGTGTGTGGTCCATACCTCCATGGAACAGCAGAGGACTGCATCTTCTTTGACATCTGTGGACTCTAATAGCTAACAAGAAGGGGAAGGGACAAGAACAGACTCTCTGTAAGCAAAATGCTACACAAAATGAAATAAAGCAAGAGAAATCTAAATGGAGTAACACGAAGTCCAGCATAGTGAGTGAGCAAAACCTAACAAGGCTTGCAGATATATAAATGTATATTTGGATATAGTGGGTGGGGAGATTAAGCAAATGCAAGTGTTTGTGTGTGTTAATCAGTTCACAAGAGAAATAAAAAAAGAAAAAGAAACGTAATCCTGATTGTAAATATTTTCTAAATTAACATTTTAAATCTCTGAAGTCAACACACTAGGCTTTCATCCTGGCAAGCTAGCTAACCATCAAGGCTTGCTTTATGCACACTGTATATCCTCATACACACACACGCATACTGTACACACACAGTGTAGCCAAAAACAAACTGTAGAGCTGGTAAACATGCAAGCTGGCTTTCCCTCCCAACAGTGGCCCCATGCACAGATGGGCATACAACTGGTACTTTCAAACAATGCAGGCAGGGAAGGCGACAGAGGGAGGACCAGTGAGCCTCCCATGCTAGACTATGAGCATCTAGCGTCAGATTACAGCAGAAAGGAATTTGGTTAAATACTCCTTTTCCAGCTCTGAGGCTGTTTCCAAAGTGCTACTTTGATTAACCAGAGAAGGGAAAGGAAGTAACAGGGAGGGTATTTTTTTTTTTTTCTTCTTCTAGAGTGAGGTCTAATTAAACCTTGGGAAGCATAACCCTTCTGCACAATGAGCAAAATAAGGTATAAATGCAGGGTACAGACACACAATTATGAAAAAAAAAGTGCAATTATAGAGTGAAAACGCAGGAAAAGCTTTTAAAACCCACTGTACGCTACCAGATATTTCCTTCAGGAGTTAGCAGAAACCAAAGCTACAAGAGAGTGAAAATTGGATTTATTAGCCAGAAGTGGCCAAAAATACGACTCCAAGTGAATGATAATGCTTCTCCATAACTTCTGAATGTGTCTGCCTGTGCTTCATTTTAACACCTGTTGTATAACTCCATACACTGACAAACTAAAATATGCTTAAAAACCTGAATCCTAACTGAAAAAGTATCAAAGATCACTATGCACATGCAGTACCAATTGGCCTGTTATTTCCACACTGTGAGCTTAATTGTATTCCACCTATCATTCAGGCCCAGCAGTTGCGCAGACGTCAGCTCCTCAGTATGCTTAGACGGGTGTGGTGACAGTGTGGCTGTTTGATGTGGGAACTCAAGTCTCGTAGTTCCCAGAGTAAGGGAGCTGTGTGACAAGCAGGATTAGCTCATAATGAGTTCTCTGGGGAGCCCAGGGTGAAGTTTTTGCTCACTATGTTTAAAATGGTCTAATCTATACTCATCTATAATCAGCTCCAAAACTATATCCACTGATATAGTTTTTTTTTTCCCCCAATCTGTTTTTTCTCCAATGCGAAAGCTCTCCTCAGTTGCTCCTCCTAAAAACTTTGTGTGAAACTAACACACAAACAGAGTCTTACTGCTGAAGCTGAAAACAGACAGATCTCTGGTTAGTCATCAAGAAACAAAGCTCGCTGCACTGGGAAACCTTGAGATTCCTTCTGATATACATTTACTGTATTTTCCTTCAAAAGTCATTTGATCAGGAACATAAAAAGCAGCAGAAACTAGGACAGCTGTGATCCTCTTGCAACACTGCACGGAAGAAATGCATCCAACATAACAACACCTTGAGTGACTCAACGTAAGAAAAAACATAACAGTTAAAACATCCTTTTTCATTTACATTTCTGCTAAGGCTTCATCTGTCGTTCAGTTTGACTTCATTACTCAAACACATTTATATTTGAGTAATTTGAAACCTGACAACATACTGCTGGGTGAATAAAACAGGCATATGAGTGCTCAAAGTTAGAATTCTGACTGCTTCAACTTTAACAGGGTTTCCAATAGTTGCATAGCAACAACATGTCTAGCGTCAGGACCAGCACTTCCCTTAGTTACATTACATAATATTACTCTATTTCTATTGCATCTGTGCTGTATTTTACTAACTGCTTAACAAAAAAGACCTATAAACAAAATATAACACACTTAGAACATTCAAGGTACAGATGTCTCATGCACACTTGCATGTACCTAATCTTTATCCTAATATACTGTATATTCTGATTGTCTCTGACTATTAAGGCCCAATGCACAATATAAATACCCCCTGGTGTCACCACCAGACAGTGTATGTGCATGACATCTGTGGTAAAATAAAAACGAAATGTGTGTTTGTTCCCCTTGTCTTTTTACAGGCATGGTATAATAATAAGAATCCAGTATTTTCATCTTGCCTGTGCAGCTTAGTATACACATTACATACTTTTATGCTACAGTCTGGGTAAATATACATTTTTCATTTGCTAGACTAGGTGTATTTAAACAGTTTAATGCACATGTTGTTAGGCTCAATCACTGTTCTAAAATTACACACTCACCACAAAGTCTCTTAACAGCCTACAGTAACCACAGTAACATGCTGAAACAGAAGCAAGCCCAATAAACAAACAAAGGAAAGAAACGTTTGCTTCACTAATTTCATATGGTGAGCCTAAAACATTCAGTAGAGTTTTAGAAGTTTAATCTTAATTTTGAACTGTTCCTCAATGCACATGTGGTATGTATCCAATCTACTTAATCTATATGGATTATTGAAAGTGGCTAAGACTGCTATTCTTATAATAATGTATTGTGACAATGGTACATTGAGTTTCAAGCTCATTGTTTGCCTTTCCAGCCCCAACTTTACTGTTTTGATTTAATAGCAATGTTTCCAGGTGCAGCAGGCAGCTGTTTTTAATGAAAAAAACCCCACTGTACACTACCTGCCCAGCAATAAACAGCTGACAAAGTTAGCAACTATCTGGCAAACATAGTGGAGCACTTAGTAGCTAAAGGTAGTGCTGAGCAGAATGGAGCTAAAAGTAGAGTGAATATTGGACTAACATTTATCAGATGGACACATATTGAACTCCCAAATGAAAAAAAGTGTTGCTCAGTAACTGCTGGATGTGTAAATAAGCAACCATTTGCTAACACATTTGCCATAACAACTTCAAAGGTGATAATATGTCAGTTTATAGCTTGTTGTGCTGCCCCCAAGTTGCCAAAAAAAACCAAACAAAACAAAAATTCAATAAATGTAGGTTTCACATTTCTGGCAAGTGAGTGTAGTGTGTTATAATTTATTTCAGCGCCCACTTAGTCAAGGATTATCTAACCTGGTTCTTCTCTGTGGATTGTGGGATTTCAAAAAACACTATTTAGTTGTGTGAGTCATGAATGGATGAGGTCATCGCTCATTAAGTCACTCTGTCTATATGTACAGCTGTCATGTATACCCAAACACACTTCCTAACACACCTCAGTTGTTACCTAATCCTGTTCTGCAGGCCACACACACACACAACACACGAGTTCACATTATCGCACAAAGCTTGTAGTTGGAATCTGACAACTACGTGTTGCAACAGGATAGACAAAACTGCCGATGGATAAAAATCAGTAAAATGGCTCTGGGAAATAGAGATCGTCGAACCATCACATGGACTAGCAACCACAAACACACACACATATAATTATACAAATATTTTGACATTGTTCCAAGGTGTGTTCTGACCTCAAGCATCATAAATGGTAAAACGAGACGCCGCTGATGCTGTGATATGGAGGTGTGTTTCGTGTATTTTTGACTGGTTACACTGTGCGTCCACACCCTCGGTCATGTTGCCGAGCCTTCTAACAAGCTGAGATTGTGCCCTGGGCATACGCTCAGACAGGGTGTGGATGGCATTAGTTGTGTGTTGATTGTTGTGTTAGCGAGACGCGGGGTGTGTGTTGAGAGCCAGACCGGCAGAGGTGTGGACGTGGGCAGTGAAACTACCAGGCACGTGCCTCAACCCTGCAATTATTTCTTCTCTACATCTCAAACTACACATTAAAAACAATTTTCACCCCCAGATTCTGTCATCTCCCTCTCCCTTCTTTTTTCTTCTCTACCTGTCATGCCATAAGTAAACTTCCTCTGCACCAACTGTCAACTTAACCACAGTCTCCTCTGGTTCCTCTCACCTCTTCTCCTCACCCTCATCTCACTCGCTTCCCCTTTCAATGTCCCATCTGTCGTTAAAACCACTTCTGTATAGTGGTGTGTCTGCTGTGGCTGCCCTATATGGTTTCCATGGTGATCATGGGAGCGTGTGTGTAAGAGAGCATGACCAACGGATGAGAACTTAACCTGGGGTCATGCATTTTTCCTGGAACTGATGGTGTCCTTACTGGTTGCACCACTAACCAAACCCTGCTGTGGTGTCTAGAGTCTAGACTAGGTCTGGCCAAAAACAGGAAACTCCGGCTTGCACGTATCGATCTGAACGGACAAGATATACAGACGCAGCTGGACACTTTCCTCTCACAGTAGCACAAGGATGGAGTTTATCGACTGGTTATTGACATTCTTATTGATTTAAAAAAACAAAAAAGGTGTAGATCTGGATACAGACCTCTCGTAGGCAGGTGTAGATGGGACACACCAGCACTCTGAATGGCTCCCCGGAGCTGCTCCTCATGGTACCAAACACCTCACACAAGAAGGTGATGAAACCTAACCACCTCTCCACATCTGACTGCTGGAGCTCCTCTCGACGGGAGAAGTCCCTCTGTGTGGAGGTGGAGATTGGGGAGAAAGGAAAAAAAGAATAGAGATTTAGTTTGGAAAATCCACTGAAACACTACAGTCTATCCAGTTTTTGTAAATGTGTTAAGTAAGTAAGCAAGTAGGCGGTAGGCAAGAGGATATTTAAGTGTTTCATACATTCATCAGCAGTGGTGGTAATCACTATTAACATCTCTGCTATCTCTCTGATGGGAGTTTTTGTAGGTGGCACATGTATTAACCTTGCAGCTTAAAGTACTTAAAGCCAAAAAGCAGTTGAAAAACACATTAAACAAATTCATGAATTTCTTTTATCTGCCCGAAGTAGGGGAGAATATGTTAATTTGGTTTGAAAGTGAAGGGTAGTGAGCTGTGTCAGTGCTGTAAAAGTGTTGGGGTTAATATGGGTTAATGCTTAATGCGCACTTGTAAAGATGTAATACGCCAGGTTAAACTGAAACTTTATTAACAGTCACAGCGACTCACTGCCTCATTTTTTTCCCTGCCTGTTAATGTGGACTGAAGTGCACTGGAAACACAAGCGGCTTATATTCTCACAGACTCGTACACTGAAGGCCGCAGATATATGCAGCCTTGAATGGATCCGACAAAAAAAACAAAAAACTAACTCGTACTGTCGAAAACAAACATACCACGCACACTCAAAAACAAGTACACGCACCTCTCACACACCTCCAAGGACATCGCCGCAGTATTTGACACTTAAACAACAAGCCAGCAAAATAGCAACATAGACACATATAGCAAAGCAGACAAAAAGTGAAGCATTAGCTAAAAGAAAAGACAATTTTATATGAGAAAAGAAGATGATGAGGAGGAAGGTGCCAACGGCATTAGCGGGGCCACATGCTAAATAAACAGCATCTTTCATAGGTAACGGTCTGGCTACGTTTAAATCAAAGCATCAACAAACCCTGATACTGCTCTGTTAATAAGCAGAGCGGTCACAGACTAATTGCCCCCACATTGAGATCCAGGGGTCTGGAAGCAACATCAGTAATGACAGCCTTCATGAGCCCACTTATGACATTTAAAATGTTTTAAAGCAAAAAGCCAAAATGTCAAAGACAAGGAGGGGGTCCATGCTGGCTGGGAAGTGGGAATTAAAGTGAGAAATAAAAGAGGAGGAGGGACCACACAGCTGTGAAAAGGGGGGGGGGGTGAATAAAAAACGGAGAAAGGGGTTAAAAGGATTAAGGCAGGATTCACTTCTGCTGGGACTATAAAAATATCAACATCTAAAGAAAGAGGTGTTTCTATGGAAAAACACAAAAACAGAAGGGAGGAAAAAAGGAAAAGTGTAGGAGTGTAGCCGAAAAGAGCATTTGCAGGAGAATTAAACAGGAGTAGGAGTGAAGGGAGGGAAAGGGAGAAGACATGGCCAGGCAGCAGGTGGGTTAACATTTAGACCTTGAATGCCATCTCAAGACAGCGTGTATGTCTTGTTTGCCTTCTGCTAGACTGTCTGCCGCTCTTGCGAGGTTGTCTGACTCTCAGGATGAAGCAAGGGGTGAAAGGGAGGAGCGTGGGTTAGAATGAGAGAGGGGAAGTGTGCAGGGAGAAGTAGCGAGGCACTGGCCCGTGTCGTTCTGGGTGAGGGGAGGCGATAAGACAGGGGGAGCATGGTAATAGAGAGCTCATGAAGGACAAGGAGGGGGAGAGAGGCAGTGAAATATACAATGGCTGAGAGGATGCTTTCATCGTGGGTGCAAGTCTGGAACTGTGCAGTTAAGTTGGGGGTGGGGGGGATCTAAACACTCAGGGGAGGGCAGGTCTCTCCCTCCCCTGGGTGTTTGGATTAGCTACTTTGCTCACTGACATTTACTGTATAACATCACACACATAGTTGGCTTTCACCTAAAAGTGGTTGGATGAAACTACTGAAATTACAGTGAGGATTTTGTTAAAACATACAGTTAAAAAAAAAAAAAATACTGGTTTGCCAGAAAACAAACACACAAACAAGGGCTGCTAGCTTAAAATGGGCTTTTAAAGAGTATTCGGAGAGCATATTGTTTACAGTAATGTATTTCTTGGGATACGATTTGGGTGGAAGCTCCACAGGGAGAGATAAAAAAAGTAAAGCACTAGGACTTAATGAAAGGTATACAAACATTTTCAGGTTAATTATTTCTTCATCAGACAATAATTGTTTTGGTTTATTAATTGACCAATTAGTCTATAAATGTTATTAAAAAAAGTAAAAAATGTCCCAGAGCCCAAGGTCGATGTCTTTAAATTGACTATTTTCTCCGACTAATCCGAAGACATTTATTTCCCAACTATAGAAAAACACATTTAAGAAACTGTAACAAGAGCACGTTTGACCTTCTTGCACAATAAATGACCAACGATTCAGTATTAATTGGCGAATCATTTTCTGTCAATCAACTAAGCGTTTCAGGACTAATTGTGACTTAATTCTAAATCAATTGTTCCTGATAGCTTATTTGTGGACTAGTATGTGTCCCCTGAGAAATCCCACTTCAAGCTGTAAGGGAGCCAACATACTGAATTGCGAGAAATGGAATTGGAAAGCAACCATCACAATATGACATCGTATATTAAAGTATCACAGTGCATGAAAGCACTTACAGGAGACAATACTTTTTGTTCGAATTCAAAACTGACACTAATAAGATCCACTGAGATTCAAAACAGTGGTGCTGCACAGACAGGAGTACAAACAGTCATATCACTGTGTTTTTAACCTTTGGTGTAGCTCATTATAAAGACAGCAGCTTATTGCTCAATCAGTAGCTAGTCTCCTACAGCAACAACACAGTGGTGGAAGAAAAACTCAGGTCCTTCACTTAAGTAAAAGTAAAGTCTTTGAGTAAAAGCACTTATTATTAGTATTACCAGCTACATTTAAAAGTCAATGTATCCAAACATCTTATTTTTCTTTTCTTTTCTTTTCTTTTCTTTTTCTTGAGATAAATAATTCACATCTGCTATGTTCAGGATTTTCAGGGGGCTAAATATTTTTGATAAAAAATCCCATTAATTATTGTCACCAAGATTGAAACATTTTACAATATAGGACATATTAAGCATATTTGGGGCATTTCTGTACTCCTGGCCAACAAATACCACGACACAGATATGTGAGGCTGGGCTCTAATGTTCACGGCATCTAAATGTGATCTTTGTAAGAGATAATTACACCAGCTTGGTACCCTTGGTATCCATTTATCACATCTTGTCAACAGGGAAGTGTGATTTAAAAATTATGCAAAGCATGCAATACATGAAATTAATGAGACTGTTATATTGAAGTCTGACTTATCTGAATACTGAATACTTAAAGCGGCACAGCCATTTCTCCTCTGCTGCACCTGCAGCCAACCGATTCCCTCCCCAGCGCTCTCACCTGCAGCATGTTGAGGAGCAGCGATCTAAACTTGGTCCCCTCCACCATGAACAGCGCCATCTTGTCACAGAGCTTGGCGGCTGTGGCGGCGAAGCTCCTGTCTGACACGGCTTTGGAGTAGATCGTGCTGACCACCTGAGCCAGGGTCTCCTCGGACCGCGCCGAACACTGAGCCTCCTCCATGAAAGAGGCCAGCTGCTGCTCCACCCCGCTGCTGTTGCTCCTCATGCTGTTGAGAAGGTCCACCAGCCGGTCCATGCTCTGTGATCCGGAGCCCGACGCCTCCACGCGTGCCTCTTCCTGATGCAGGACATGGGATAAGGCATGAGTGGTAGGTGACAGGTGATGTACAGTATTCAATTTCAACATAGGTTTGTCCACAATCAAGAAGGTTTTCTCAGGAAAGAAAGGAAAAATTAATGATGTAAGCTAATTTGTCACATTTATTACCATGAAGCAAGTCACTTAGTTTAGAAAGTATGTTTATCATAGTTTATAGAGTGACTTTTTATTTTTTATTCCTTAAGGAGTTGTTGCTGTAGTTCAAAAAGCATTGATACATACAATGGACAGACAGATTAAGATTATAATCAGACTGCTCTCTGCATTCATGTCAATGGCATATGACAAGAAACCCAAACAGTGGCTTGAGAAATGTAACCAATATGCTAGATCTGTGTGGTTTATGAATTTTACAATGGGACAGAGAAAGCGCTGCTTAAAGAAGCTGCAAAATAAAATATATATAGAATTTTCCTGACATCAGTAGAACCCAATCAAGCAAAAGCTGCTTCTTAGACTAGATTTGTTGATTCACTGGTGTCACTGTGGCTATGTTTATTAATTGCTGCCTTGCGGCCTGCTGAGGAGTCCCATGCTGTCAAATCAAACCACCCCTGGTGGTAATAAGTTAGCTGTAGAAAGAGGAAGCTGAGAGCAGCAACACAGTCGGCTGACTAGCCAGTTTAGTGCACACAGTGGATAACATCAAAAATTGTTAGGCTAATACTGCTTTAGTTTCTTCACGTCCTTAGTGAGAACATGTACCCCCACCCCACCAGTCTGTGTGTGTCAATCTGAATGCTAAATAAGTAGATGAATGACGAAGAAGAAGAAAGGCAGTGTAAGAAAGGTGTTCTGTATATCAATGACAGTATGTGTGTGTATGAACATAAAGAAAGTATTTATACAACTAAAGGGTAGTGTGTGTGTGTACACATACACATTAGTCCTGACTGCCTTAATATGGACTGACAGGCACTAAGCAGCTTTTCAGTACCTTGTCCTTTAGTCTCCTCCTCAGCCTCTCCTTTGACGACTGCAGCAAGCTGATTTTGGGCTGCTCCGACTGGCCCTCGTTTGCCTTTCCACTTCCTGGTGGGTTGGGCAATTCCTTATTAAATGTCAGATCTGGGAAAGCATTTGTAGTGGGTTTTGACTCAGATTGGGGTGTTTCATTGAGACTCTTACTGCTGAAGTCTTGGGGTGGTCTGATCTGTTCGTCACCCGGTTTTACATTCTCAGTCTCTCTGTCTTTGGTTGTTCTTGGGGGTCCTCCTTTATCACCTGTAGCGTTTGTCTGTCCATGCCCCTGACCTTTTTGATTGTGGTGCCAACGCCGGTTCTGGCTGTATCCGTGGTGTGGCGGTCCTCCTTGGCGCTGCCCATGTCCTCCTTGATACTGACGAGGCGGCCGACCAGCACTACTGTTTCTGTTATCTCCCAGTTCTGTTAAATTCTGCTGCTGTTGGTTTGGAGACTGCTGTTGGGTGTGATCCCTCTGGTGCTGCGGTGACTGTTGTTGTATCAGCTGAGGTTGGTTCTTACCTCCCCCTCCTCCTCCTCCTCCTCCCTGAGGCCGCTGCTGTCTCCTGGAATGAGAGGAGGTTTCAGTTAGTTTCATGGTGATGTAGCAGCAGCTGGCTTGTACCTTCAAATGCTTGGCAGCACCCTGGCAGCACTCTGACTACCCCTCTGTGTCACACTGGCACCATGATGGTCTACAGCCTCCTCTCTGCCCCCCCAAAACATTGAATTTTCAGTTTCTAGTCACAGTGACTAACCAATGCTCTTCTGTAAACATTACTATGACAATTCACAACCAGAGACAAACAGTATCATCTAGTGATACAATCTAATAGTAACTAAAAATTCAAAAGCCAATGACTGCTTACATGTGGGTGCACAGTGAGTTTTCCTGTCCTGCATAGCTCTGTCCTGTTTCTGCACTGGATCTGGGCTTGACAACCCGCTGACATATGGTCCAGGGGATTAGTCAACCCTGGCACCCAGGAGACAACCTATTATCTGCCTGAGCCTTTGAACTCGCAAAAAAACTCAACTAGCAGCACCTAGCACACCTTTGTTCAGATACGCTCAATTGGTGATAGATTCTCAATCAAGGTTAATGAATCAGTGTGTTTCTGTTTCTACTGTAGCCCTTCTGCTTGAAATCAGCATGAACTGAATTTAAGAACTTTTCTGAATTTAAATAATTATAGTAAATATAAATGTTTTATGTTGAACCGTATGTGTTGGCAGACCTTTGTCTGTCTGACTAAAAGACAAAATCGGGCCTGAAAACTTGCACTGGAAACGGTGTACTGGACTTGAAAGATGACATTAGTGCATTAAAGGACCAGTATAAAGTGTTTAGTGGCATCTAATCTGCAGCACCAGTAGATACATAAATGACTTGAAATACAGCTCTAAGGTAAGGTTTTTTTTTTTTTTTCAAGTGATTATACACACATATGAATATTATATTCCATTTCTGCCAATAGGTCCTCCTAAATGTTACACACTGGACCTTTAACACATATGCGCATAAACAAACCATTTTCCAGCCACATGTACCGTGCACTTTAATGACCACAGAGTGTGAGACTAACAGAAAGCATACAAACTTTGACTGTTTAGTGAAACGTAAAAGCATAGTATTAAGCAATAATCGTATTAGGATAGCATGTAGCATCAATAATGATTAGGTATGTCTGTAAATGCACGGTTTGCACGAGACAGCTATAAACAGAGCTATTGAGTAATGAAAGAAAATAAGTTAGTTCTGTCTACATATGCACTCAGTGACAATGCAGTGCGGGTCTTTGTAAGTTAAAACATTACAAAATGCTCCAGAGTTCCTTGCAGCTTTTGTCCCTCTTTGAATATTATAGAGTTAATTTAATAAAGAGATCGCAAAAAAAAAGATACACAAAAGCGAAACCTGGGACATCCACAGGGCTGCCTAAACCTTGTGGAGGCTGGGCTGATGAGCAAAGAAAGTCAATTCACTGTGTATGTCAATGCCAAGACTGCAATGTGGGTTTTCGTCATTCCTCACAAAAGCTTTTCCTTGCACTTTTAGTTAGTTTAGTTAAAATTAATTTGCAAGCCAGACATTTCTTAGGCTGCATTACAAAAGCACATAAACTGTTTTACCTTGTGAAAGAGACCTGTGTGGCACTATCACACTCAAAAGTTAAGTTTGCAAATCTCCTTTGTAAAAATGTTAATTCCACCCTTAATAAATCTAAGAACCTTGGGAATGTTCTATGTGCTTAAAAGAAATGTAATATATTCGTACGTGCAGGTTAAACACATTTTTTAAGAAATATGGTCTGGAACTATGGCTCTGATGATACATGGCAGGGACCATGGATTCTATTGTAGATGGAGGTAGACCCCAGACCATATCAAAGAATTGATAAATTCTCCTTTCTCATTTATGAAGGTTTTTTACTTTAACTTGGTTATCCATCTGTATGTACAAGGCTTGGAGGACTATAACATTTAAATATCAAGAAATTCAATAACAAAATATAAGAGTTATGACCTCAAACTCACTTTTGGTTGTTATGGATGCGTTCGGAATGTAAGTTGTGAGCAATGAAGCGTCCATGGTCCCGGCCATGTATTCGAGTTCTTCTACACAAGCTCATGTCCCTATGGTTCCTAGAACCCCAATTTTTAGTTTCTATAAGGTTAAGAGAGCATACTAGATGATCGGTCCTAACGCAAGGCACGTAAGCAGGGGGAAATGGGCTAAGTGGCTATACATTTGCCTTGATAGCACAGTCTGAGGGCATCTACGTTGGTTTTATTTGCACAGGGGTGTGCGTCCAGTGGAGCTTCTCGCCTGTGGCATCCTATCATAACATAAAGAGGGAGGAAATCAGTAACCCTCATCTTGAGAGTGTGTGCAAACGGTCTGGGGTAATTTATTGATTGAAGATATTGAATACAGGTGGCCCCTCTTCACAGGCATTGATCACTCTAGTCGACCAGGGCGAACCTGGCTCGCCCAAAACGGGACAACCAACAAGGCTCATATTACTGTGCAGATTTGTGAGAACAATGCACAAAGGCAGACTATAAGAGAGGAACATTTTATCGGATCTTAGATCTCTGCAATAATAATCTGGTTCTGACACACATAAACTAACCAACCATACACCTATAAACTATGCTCTCAGCCACGGTACAATAGCTTGTGTGCAGAGCGCCCACAACATGAAGCTGGGGAAAGTTCGCGACACATGCTTTACTTTGATAAATCAAGTGACTTAGGCCAACTTGTGTTGGCTTGGAAACCACAATAAGCGAACGCTGAATTATGTGGGGCTTCTCAGTATCATGGTTTCATCAGCCCAGGTACCATCCCACAAATATTTTATGACCCGACCTATGTCAGGAATCGTCACCCCACGGTTCCCGGGCTATCATTGTCGTATTACCTCTATTATTTTGTTTTTGCTTGATCTCTTAATTCATTAAAATCTTAAATATGGCTCGGTCAAATAGTGAGAAAATGGCGCGAAAGCCAATATGTATCGGAATCGAAAGGATGCGCAGAGATAGGTTACACTACTGTTTTGCAGGTGGTCCTCATGTAAATAGGTTTGTGGAAACATATCGAGAGAGGGCATTTGTACGCTGCCGCACTGCCATTGTCTACTGGATGACCTTTAGAATACTGTGTAGACACAGAGGGAGGGTGAGAACACCCAATGTAATATATTACTGTGTTCTATGCTTCCCAGTTCCATTACTTGTACGAAATAGCTCTGTCTATAGCTTCTCGTCGCAAACCGGTGCATTTACAGCATACCTAATCATTATTGATGCTTAGCTGACGGCATGACGTCTCAAGTCACATAAATACGGAATTAGATGGAAGAGGATAAATGACTATGCTTTCGTAACGGAATAGAGTCGCAACGATCAAACGCGTAAGTCAATAAGTGTCTTGATATATAGTTGTCGATTTGTAATCGATCAGAGGATCACTGTATGGGATATCAAGAAAAATTAAAAGATAGAGGAGTAACAGATGTGCGTGGGAACAAATAGGGGTTTTGATGTTCTATCGCAGGTATGGTGTCTACAAGGTGTATCCAGAGCGGTGTTAGACATGTAGGAGGATCCTGTGAGTGCTTTTGCCATGAGGCATGTTGGTGCGCCATATTCATTTTTTGATGAATTGGTGGAATTCTTTATCATGGCTATGTGGTGTGAATGAGGTGAAATCAACTATAAAAAAAAAGTAAAAAAAGATCCCATGTCACTTTTAAGAGCTGTATATTCAAGCTACACATTTACTGAATTAGGTCGTTTCCTCATTTCGCTGTGCAGATTACTTTAAGAGTAGAGACGACCACTAGCATCCACGCATTGTCAGAGGCAGGTTATTCAGCTCTCACGGTTCATGTAAATGCACTATCGATTCACTACATTTCAGAGTCACCGCGAAACGGGTACACCGGGTTTCTCCAGTAGCAGGGCTTCCCCCAGCCTGAGCCTGTCATCTCTCCTTTAGGAGTAACTTATTATAGTGACAGACGAGAGGCAAAGGAAGGTCTGCAACACATACGGAGTTCTAGAACATAAGAGAAGAACAGGTGTGATAATGGGTGATACTTAAATGTTAATATGATTAGGAAGATTCAGAGAAAAAGTCTTAAAATTCAGTGTGGTGTGACAATGACGGGAGTATTCAAGGCGAAGATAGGGCTAGTAGATAGAAAGGACGCAGAGAAACACACTGATTCATTAACCTTGATTGAGAATCTATCACCAAGTGAGGCGTATCTAAAAAGGTGTGCTAATGCCTGCTGAAGGAGTGGAGTTAGTGTGTATTTGCGGAAGTAGATGCAAGAGGACTTTCATGCTTAGAGATAGAGAATGTTAGGAGTGTGCGGATCCTGAGAGGTGCCAGGGGTCTGACTATCCGGACTGGACCATAGGTGGTCATGAGAGGTTGGGTGACAACGCACCAAGTGCAGAATCCAGTGCAGAAAAACAGGACTAAGAGCTACATGCAGGGAAGCAGAAAAACTCACTGATGCGATCGCCCACTAATGATAAAGCACAGTTCATTGGTATCTCGTGTTGGAATTTTTAGTTACTATTAGAGTTTGTATCACTAATGATACTGTTGGAGAGAGGAAAGTCGTCTGGTGGGGTGGAATCCTGGCTCATATGGGGCCAGTAAAAAGCTGCCAATTAATACAGAACGAGCATTGGCTGTATAGAAATCACACTAGGTAGACTTAGAAATA